AAGGCCCCGACCAATGTCGGGGCCTTTCTTATCTCGGGATCCAGTCTATTGCTTTACTTGATTCGCCTCCCGACTTGAGTCGCCATCGACTCAAGAGCCCTCCCAATGCAGGGCGCGACGTGGGGATGACGCCTCCGTAGAGGATCGGCAGCGTCGGCTAGAACGCCCACGAGGGCTCGTATTCGCCGAACACCCCGCGGAACACGTCCATCATTTCGCCGAGAGTGGCGTATGACTTCACCGCTTCGATCAAAGGCGGCATCAGGTTCTCGTTCCCTCGGGCCGCCGACTCCAGAGCACGGAGCTTCTCAGCCACGTCCCGGTTGTCCCGGATGCGCCGCACCTCGTTGATGCCCTCGATCTGCAACCGTTCTCCCTCCCGGTCCACCCGGAGCAGAGGGATGTCGGCCTCCTCGCCGGTGTTGTACTCGTTCACGCCGACGGTGATACGCTCCTTGCGGTCCTCCTCCATTTGGTAGATGTACGCAGCCTCGGCAATCTCCCGTTGCAGGAACCCGGACTCCAGTGCCGGGACCACCCCTCCCACGTCCTCGATGCGGCGGAAGTAATCGTAGCTGCCCTCCTCCATTTGATTGGTCATCACCTCGACGAAGTAGCTGCCGCCGAGGGGGTCCACGGTATCAGTAACACCGGTCTCGTGGGCGATGATCTGCTGCGTGCGCAGGGCCTGCAGGGCGGCCTCCTCGGAGGGCAGCGCCCAGGCTTCGTCCTTGCTGTTGGTGTGCAGCGACTGGCAGCCGCCCAGGACAGCGGCAAGGGCCTGCAACGAAACTCGGACCACGTTGTTGTCCGGCTGCTGAGCCGTCAGCGACTGTCCCGAGGTCTGGGCGTGGAATCGCAGCTTGTGCGATCGACTGTCGGTAGCGCCGAAGGTGTCGCGCATCTCCTGCGCCCAGATCCGGCGGGCCGCCCGGAACTTGCCGATCTCCTCGAAGAAGTTGTTGTGCACGTTGAAGAAGAAGCTCAGCCTTGGAGCAAAGTCGTCAACGTTCAGGCCTCGCTCCTGGGCGTGCCTTACGTACTCGAACCCGTCGGCCAAGGTGAACGCCAGCTCCTGCACCGCGTTTGAACCGGCTTCCCGGATGTGGTAGCCGCTGATGCTGATCGGGTTCCAGCGTGGGACGTGCCTGGCAGCAAACTCAACCGTGTCGGTAACCAGCCGCATCGACGGCTGCGGCGGGAAGATGTACTCGTTCTGGGCCATGTATTCCTTGAGGATGTCGTTCTGGATCGTTCCGCCGATCTTGTCCAGCGATGCGCCCTGCTTTTCGGCCAAAGCCAGGTACATTGCCCAGATGATTGCCGCGGGCGCGTTGATGGTCATTGAGGTGGTGATGCCGTCGAGCCGGATCCCGTGGAACAGCGTCTCCATGTCGGCCAGCGACGACACGGCGACGCCGCAGGTCCCAAACTCGCCGAACGCGCGCGGGTCGTCGGTGTCGTAGCCGTACAGCGTTGGCATGTCGAAGGCAACACTGAGACCGGTCTGTCCCTGATCCAGCAGGAACCTGAACCGCTCGTTCGTTTCCTGCGGACGGCCGAACCCGGCAAACATGCGGAAAGTCCAGAGACGGCCCCGGTAGCCTGTTTCGTGAATGCCCCTCAGGTACGGAAACTCGCCCGGCAGGTCCATCGCTTCCGCGGCGTCCCCCCTGGTGTTTGTCCACGTCGGTGTAGACCTGCTCCACCGGCACTTGCGAGGGAGTGCGGAAGTCCCGACGGCGTTGGGCGCCCGGGTCCTGCTTGGCGCGCCAGTTGTCCACGCGCTCGTTCCGTCCCTGCAATTCGTCGTTAGAAGACAAGGGTTACCTCCAAGGCATCCGGCTAAGGCAATATACGCCAGACAGGACAGCGAATTCGCAGTCCGGGAAGAATTGTCTTTGCAGGAGAAAGTCTAGTCAGCCGCCGCGCCCAGTGTCAACGCAGAGACCCCGCGTGGCGAAAGGCGTAAGGAAGCAGCTGACAGGGATGGAATCCTGTTACCCGGTGAAGCGGACGAACCGCCGGCGTCCAGCCCGCAGCACGTCACCTGCACTCGGACTGACGAAGGCTCGTTCGTCGTCCAGGCGGCTGGAACCACCTGTGGCGGTGAGAAGCTCCACAGCTCCCTGGGTAAGGAGGCGTCTGGCCTCGGCATTGCTGGGGGCAAGACCCGTGGCCACCAGCAGGCGGTCGGCGCGAATGGCACCATCCGGGGCATCGGCCTGCTCTTTCAGATCGGCCAGAGACAGCTCCGGCATCTCATCTGGCAGGTTGCGGCCCTGCACGACGCGCTCAAAGTGGGCCTGTGCGGCATCGGCTGAGGCCGGGTCGTGAAACTGGTTGGTTATATCCCACGCCAGACGCTTCTTGTGCTCCATGGGGTTGACCGAATCCTGGCTCAAATCCCGCTGCAAGTCGGCAAGGCTGGACGCCGGTAGATCGGTCAGGAGTTCGTAGTAGTTGGCGATCTGGCTGTCGCCGATGGACATGATCTTGCCGTACATTTCCTCGGGGCGTTCGTCCACGGCCACGTAGTTGTCCAAACTCTTGCTCATCTTCTGGACACCGTCGGTTCCCACCAGTATCGGCATCATGAAGCACTGCTGCGGAGTCTGGCCCATCATTCCCTGCAGTTCGCGCCCGACCAGCAGGTTGAACATCTGGTCGGTGCCGCCGAATTCGACGTCGGACTCGATGACGACTGAGTCGTAAGCCTGCAGGAGGGGATACAGCAACTCGGTTATCGCGATGGCGCGCTGCTCGGCGAATCGCTGGGCAAAGTCGGCCCGCTGCAGGAACTGGGCTACTGTGAAGCGGCCGGTCAGACCAATGACGTCCGCGAGCGTGAACTTGCCGAACCACTCGCTCTGCTGGACCACCTGTGCCCGATCCTCATCCACCACCTTGAAAAACTGGCGCAGGTAGGACTGGGCGTTTTCCATCACCTGCTCGTGCGTTAGCATGGGGCGGGTCGCAGACTGCCCACTGGGGTCGCCGATCTGGGCGGTCCAGTCACCGACGATCAGGATGACCTGATGTCCGAGCTCCTGTAGCTGCCGGAGCTTGCGGAGGCCGACCACGTGTCCAAGGTGTATGTCGGGTCGGCTGGGGTCGAATCCCATCTTCAGCCGCAGAGGACGCCCCGAATTCAGCATGCGCACGAACTCGTCGCGGGAAATGATCTCGCTAACGCCGCGGTTGACGATAGTGTCCAGCGTCTCGGGGCTGAGCAATATCCGTCCTCACTGCCGAATTTGGCCAGCCTCTAGTCGGCGCTGGCCAGCGCTACTCTCGATTCAGCGACGTCCTGCTCGATGCGGGCGATGAGCGCATCGATGTCGGCAAAGGTCTCCTGGTTTCTTACCTTCTGCACAAACTCGACGGTCATCTGTTGTCCGTACAGATCTCCGCTGAAGTCCATCACATACACCTCTACCAGCCTCTGGGTCAGGCCGAATGTTGGCCGTACGCCGATTGATGTGGCTGAGAGGTGTCGCTTTCCGCCGAAATGGGCCCAGGTGGCGTAAATTCCATCGCCTGGCCAGAGCAGGCCGGGGTACACATCAATGTTGGCGGTGGGGAATCCCAGGGTCCGCCCACGCTGGTCACCCACGACGACCGTGCCGTTGAGCGTGTGATTCCGTCCCAAAAGGCCTGCGCCGTGGGAAACATCGCCGGCCACCAGGGCTTCGCGGACTATCCGGCTTTTGACGAGTTGGCCGTTGATCTCAAGGGGCGCAACTGAACGCACCCAGAACCCCAGCCGCTCGCCCTGCTGCTGCATGTACGGGAGGTCGCCCTCTCGTCCCTTGCCCAAGGCCGAGTCAGGGCCCAGCACGAGCCCCTTCATCCTCATTGTCCCACTGAGCAGTTCAGCAAACTGTTGCGCGGAGACTTGAGAGAGTTCTTCGGTAAACTCGACGGATGCCACCAGCTCTATCCCGGCCTCCTGAATCAGCGATACCTTCTGGGCGGGTGTGGTAAGGTAGCTGGGAAAGGTTCCGGGGCGGAACACGGTAACCGGGCGGTTGGAAAAGGTAATGACAGCGGGGATACAGCCTGGAGCGGCCCAGTCTTTCAGGTGATCGAGCAGATACCTGTGCCCCAGATGGACGCCGTCGAACACGCCCACGGTTAGCACCGTGTCCCTGTCAGGGGCAAAGCCGGCCAGACTCTGGCTGAAGCTCATCTGAATTGTGGTCCCCTATATCGTCAGGGTGTCCCAAATCCCTGGGCGGGAGTCCGTGCACGGGGATAGCAAAAAGCCTATTTCGTGCGAGACTGGGTGGCCGGCGCGAGGCTGAAGGTCGACTCTGTGACCCGGATGCGCCGTGGCGCGAATATTAGCACAGGGCACTTTTGAGCGTCAACTAAAAACGGTCAGCCCACGGCCCCTTTTCGTTGCCTGGAGAAGGTGCGAGTGCTTGTCCAGAATGGTTACAAAACAACCCGTTCATTTGTAATTAAACTAAATTAAGTTAAATTAATCTCAAATTAGCTATGCACGGTGCTGTCAGCCTTGTATAATTTTTTCTTGTCCGGACCATGCGCGTAGGTGGCGGGGAGGCCCGCGGGAGGCGCCTGAAAGGGGCAGTCATTCCCGGAGTCAGGCCCACAACCGAGCGCGTACGGGCGGCAATTTTTAACATGCTGGATATAGGTCAGTTCCGTGGCGGGCGTGTGCTGGACCTGTTTGCAGGCACCGGCAGCTTGGGAATCGAGGCACTCAGCCGGGGAGCGGCCTGGGCCGATTTCGTGGAGCGGGACCGGCGACAGTGTGCGGTCATCCGCGAAAACCTGGCCACCGTCGGTTTCGATTCCATCGCGGGCGTGCGCCAGGGTGATGCCTCGCGAGTCCTGCAGGCGCTGCCGGGAAACTACAGCCTGGTGCTGCTGGACCCGCCATATCGCATCGGCGCTTTCCATGGAGTGCTGGAAGGCATAGCCCGACAGCCTGGATTACTCGCCCCAGGTGCGACCGTGGTGGCCGGGCACTCCAGGCAGACAGAACTGCTGGCGGCGTACGGCAATATTCGCCGGACCGTATTCCGGCAATACGGGGACAATGCGGTGTCCTTTTACAGTAGTGAGACCGGTCACTTGGACGACCCCGATTTGGACGAACCTGACTTGGACAAACCCGGAGGTGTACCCGGCGGCTCCTGCGAATCCTCCGGAGGAACAGTGGAACAAGAATGGTAATTGCGCTTTATCCCGGTAGCTTCGACCCGATAACGGTGGGGGCACCTCGACATCACGGCCCGTGCCTCCAAAATTGTTCGACGAACTGGTGGTCGGCGTTTATGACACGCCTTCCAAGAGCCTCCTGTTCAACACCAACGAGAGGGTGGAGCTGTTCGAGCAGGCAAGCTCCCACATCCCCAACGTGCGGGTGGTCAAATACTCGGGCCTGACCGTCCGTTACGCCAAAGAGATCGGCGCGGATGTCGTGGTCAGAGGTCTGCGAAGCGGATATGACTTCGAGTACGAATTTGAGATGGCCTTCATGAACAGTAAGCTGGAGCCCGAAGTGGACCTAGTTTGCTTTATGACCTCACAAGACTACGTGTTTGTGAGTGCCAGTCTTTTGAAGGAGGTAGCCAGGCTAGGTGGAGATATCAGGGAGATGGTCCCTCCCAACGTGGCGGAAGCTCTGTATTCGAAATTCGAAAACCCGGTCCTTGAAGGGCAGTGACCGGGAGAGGGGGTTATCATAGATATTATTAATGTCATCGACAAACTGGAAACACTCATCGATACCAGCAAGGCTGCCCGAGCCGGCGGCCACATACTGGTGGAACGGACCAAGGCAATGGAACTGGTGGACCAGCTCCGCCTGACTGTCCCCAAGGAAATGAGGGCGGCCGAGGAAGTGCTGTCCCAGCGCGACCACATCATCAACCTTGCCCAGACCGACGCCCGCCGCACGAAGTCCCAGGCCGAGGACGACTACCGGGAGCGTTTGGACAAGCACGAGTTGCTGCTGCAGGCCGAGCAGCGGGCTACCAACCTGCTGCGCGACGCCGAAGACCGGGCCCGCCGCATGCTCGAGCAGGCCGAGCAGCAGTCCGAAGCCAACCGTTCGGACGCCGACGCTTATGCGCTCCGCAGCCTTCGCAGCCTGGAGCAGGAGCTGAACAGCATCACGTCCGCAGTGCGCCGGGGAATCGACGTTTTGTCGGGCCCAGCGACGGCCACGCTGACCACGCAGTACTTCGGCGACCCTGAACCCGTTCGATAGAACGGCCAGACAGTTTCTAATGAAACCGTCATCGGACTTATCCCCGCCACGAGGCGGAGAGCAGCCTGGGTAACTCCGCAGGCTTGCATTCGCCGGGACAGACCAGACGGCCAGTGCAGGGGCAACCGGATTCCGGTTGTCCCTGCACTTTGCAATCTCGAGGACTCTGTGGCGCCAGCGGACTGAAAGAGAATGCACCGATTCCGTTCGGGTTGACTTGAATTTGGCGCAGGAATACAATTTTTCATTATTCCGGACTAATTCGGAGGCGAAGCTAATGAAACAGATGACTGTTGACAGCATCCGGGTCAGTCCGATGAATTACCAGAGAGTCGTCATACTCCGCGAAAATGACTCCGATCGTTACCTCCCCATCTGGATCGGGCCAGCGGAGGCCGACGCCATCGCGGTAAAGCTGCAGGATCTCAGCGTCCCCCGCCCCCTGACCCATGACCTTCTCCGCGAGGTCATCGACAAGCTGGGTGGCTCCATCAAGCACATTCTGGTCAACGACCTACAGAACGACACCTTCTTCGCTACCATCACCATTGAAGTAAATGGCAACAGCGAGGATATTGACTGCCGTCCCAGTGATGCGGTGGCTCTCGCCGTGCGGGCCAAGGTGCCCATCTACGCCAATGAAGCCGTTCTGGACAAGGCAGGGATACACCTTGACAAGGAAGGCAAAGCCTGCGGAACAGGGCGAAGCCATTCAGCCCGCGGCGGAGCCTCGCAGCGAGGTCAAGGAGGAGGAACTGGAGGGGATGTCCGCCTTCACCGACTTCATCGACTCGCTGGACCTGGAGGACTTCGGAAACCGGTAGCAACCCGGGGCTGTACCTAGTTGGCGTCCGTAATTCAGCGGCCCCGATGAGAGCAGTCGGGGCCACTTGTTTTTCCTGAATGCATCCTGTCCGATGGGCAGGGATTGGGCTTGAATTCTCCTGCGGAACAGGGGCAGACGAATGGCCCCGGCAGGTTACGGAAATCGGATTGACATCAACCACGGGCGATGATAATATCCGTGCCGTTTGAGCAGTTGTATGGATCGACGGCTCATCGCGCTGCAACTCTTGGGACTGGGCTGGTACGTGGCCCTCTGCATAGTTGTGGGCGCGGTCGGGGGCATCTGGTTGGACCGGCTCTCGGGGCTTTCACCGCTTTTCACACTGATGGGAGTGCTATTGGGAACAGTGGCAGCTTTCTACGGTCTTTACAGGATGGTACTTCCCCTGTTTAACAACAATTCTTCGTCCGGCAAGCCCGGCTCCGACGGGGAGAGCTCACAGTGAACAAAAGGGTTGCTAGTAGGTGGGCTGCTGTTCATCGTGGCACTCGCTGTTGCCGGTCTCATCACCGGAGCCATCGGCGCTGGTCTCGTTCAGTCCGAGGAATCGAGGGAGGCTGGGGAGACCGCCGAGGGTCCCTTTGTGAACAAGCCCGCCGTTCACCTTCCCGCCCAGGTCGTCGCCCCTGGGGCAGCTCGCGAACACTACACCGAGTTCCTCCACGCCGAGCACGAGGAGCGCGAGTACGGCGAAGATCACCTGGACGAACATGAACTTGAAGTGCTGCACGAAGGCCCTTACGTCGGCAACAACTTCAGCATAACCAACACTCTTCTCTCCTGCTGGATTGCCAGCGTTGTCCTGGTGCTGATCTTCGCTCTCGGGGCGCGCCGCGCCAGCATGGTTCCCGGGCGCTTCCAGAATTTCTGCGAGATCGTGATCGAAGGCCTGCTGCGCTTCGTTGAGGGCACCGTTGGCCCGCAGCGTTCACGAATGTTATTCCCGGTGATCGCCACCATCTTCCTTTTCGTGCTGATCAATGCATGGATCGGGCTCCTGCCCTTCTATCCCGCACTGGGGTTCCTGACCGGAGGGAAGGTGGAGATCCATCTGCTCCGGCCGGCCGGCACTGATATCAACATGCCGCTGGCCCTGGCGCTGGTCTCATTCGTCTTTGTCGAATATCTTGGTTTGAAAATGCTGGGCATTGGCTACTTGGGGAAGTTCGTCCGCGTCTCCAGCCTGGTACGCGGATTGAAGGCCCTGGGCCGCTTCAGGATGCTGGAAGCCTTCCAGGGCCTGCTGGATTTCTTCTTCGTTGGACCGCTGGAGGCATTCAGCGAATTCGTTCGCCTCATCAGCTTCACCTTCCGTCTCTTCGGCAACATGACGGCAGGTGAAATCCTGGTGCTCGTGTCGGCCTTCCTGGTGCCCTTTGTCGCCACAGTGGGCGTATATGGGCTGGAGCTGCTGGTCGGGTTCATCCAGGGACTTATCTTTTGCCGGACTGACCCTTGTGTTCGCCGCCATCGCCATGACGGCCCACGAGCACGAGGGGCACGACGAACATCACTAGAGAGCTTTAGGGGGAAATCGTCCCTCTTTCGCTGGGGCGATTCTCCCGGAAGGGGCAGATAAGGATGGAATTTCTGATTTTCGGAATGGTCCTCGCAACCGTGGGTATCGCCGCCGCGGCCCTTGGCGGAATATTCGCAATCTACGCGTCCCGTCAGGACTAGGGCACTGGAACTCATATACTCTGACTGACACACCCAAGGAGGGAAAATGGAAATCCTTTCGGCACTGTTGAGTCTACCGCTGGCCCAGATTGAAGCCGACGCAGCCAAGCTGCTGGGCGCCGGGATCGCCATCGGCTTGGGGCTGATCGGCCCGGGCATCGGCATCGGTATCCTGGGCGCCGCCGCAATGAGCGCCATCGGCCGCAACCCGGAGGCCACCGGCAACATACAGACCAACATGATTCTTGGCATCGCGTTTGCTGAGGCGCTGGGCATTTACGCCCTGGTGGCCGCGATCATGATCGGCTTCATTTTCTAACGGGGCTGAGGAAGAAATTATGGAGACATTGGGAGTCCATCTCCCAAGCCTGCTGATATACGTCGTCAACTTCCTGCTGGTCCTGGGCCTGTTGTTCCTGTTTGCCTACAAGCCCATCCTGCGGTTGATGGACCAGCGGGCGGATCGGATCAGGGAAAGCCTGGAGGCCTCCGAGCGCGCGCGCGAAGAGGCCGCCTCTTCCCAGCAGGCCGTGGAGGATCAGCTGGTGGAGGCGCGGCGCGAGGGGCAGCGCATCATGGAAATTGCCCGCGAAACTGCCGAACGGTTCCGGGCCGAGGAAATGGAGCGTGCCCGTGGCGAGGCGGAGAACTTCGTCTCCCGTGCCCAGGCCGACATCCAGCGGGAGCGCGATGCGGCCATCGAGGAAGTCCGGGCCAGCTTCGCCGACCTTGCCATCACCGCGGCCGAACGCGTCGTGCGTCGTTCACTTGACCGGCAGGCTCACGAAGACCTGATAACCCAGGTGCTGGAAGAAGGCGAGAGCCTGCGAAGGGGTTAGCTGACCGATGGCACAGAGGGTCTCAGGGAAGCGGTACGGACAGGCAATTTTCGAGTTGGCCCAGGATCAGGGCGCTGTCGAGCAATGGGGTCAGGACATGGCTCTTGTGGCCCAGGCGTTCGAGGACGCTGAGTTCGGCGCGCTTCTCAAGCACGCCGGCGTATCAGCAGAGGACAAGCGCCGCGCCACCGAGGCCGTTCTGGGAGACATTCGGCCCCTGGTGCGCAATATGGTGGACCTGCTGGTGGCCCGGGGATTGGTGGACGCCGTCCTCGAGGCCTGTCGCGAGTACACTGAGTGGCAGGACCGCCTTGAAGGTCGCCAGCGGGTCGAAGTAACCACTGCAGTTCCGCTCGGGCCTGAAGAGGTTGAACGGATCACAAATTTCGTCGCGGAACTCATCGGCCGCGAGGTGGTGGTCACCCCCCGCGTCGACGAGGAAATCCTCGGTGGGCTGGTCATCCAGATTGGAGACCGTCTGCTCGACGGCAGCGCCAGAGCTCGCCTGAACGGGTTGCGCGAGCGCCTCAACGCTGGCATACGCTAAAACCGGGGCGGTCAATTCCCGAAACGGGAGTATAATCGGAGGACAGCCTCCGTTGTATTCCGGGCCCGGTTATTGCCTCAATAGAACGCAGACTTAATTTACCCAGCAAGGAGAGCCTGCTATGGCTACCAGGGGACTGGACATAGTTTCGCTGATCAAGCGCCAGATCGAGGAATTCGGCGGCGATTTGGCCCTGGTGGATGTAGGCACCGTGGTCCAGGTAGGCGACGGTATCGCCAGCATCCAAGGCCTGCAGGGAGTGCGCTCCAATGAGTTGTTGGACTTTGGTAACGACACACTCGGGCTGGCGCTGAACCTCGAGGCCGACATCGTGGGTGCCGCGATTCTAGGCGACCCCAATGCGGTCAAGGAAGGAGATCGGGTCCGCTCCACGGGCCGTATTATCGAGGTGCCGGTCGGCGACAGCCTCATCGGACGCGTGGTCGATCCCTTGGGCCGCCCGCTCGACGGCAAGGGCGCCGTCAACACCAGCAGCAGTCGCTCCGCCGAAGCGGTGGCCCCCAACGTCGTGGTCCGACAATCGGTGAACACCCCGGTGCAGACTGGTATCAAGGCCATCGACGCCATGATCCCCATCGGCCGCGGGCAGCGCGAGCTGATCATCGGCGACCGCTCCACCGGAAAGACCGCCATCGCCATCGACTCCATCATCAACCAGAAGGGCGGCGACCTCATCTGCATCTACGTCGCCATCGGCCAGAAACAGGGCAAGGTCGCCCAAGTGGTGAGTGCGCTGGAAGAAGCCGACGCCATGGGCCACACGATCATCGTCACTGCCGGCGCCTCAGACTCTGCGCCGCTCCAATACCTGGCCCCCTACGCAGGGTGCGCCATGGCCGAGGAGTTCATGTCCCAAGGCAAGGACGTGCTGATCGCCTACGACGACCTGACCAAGCACGCCTGGGCCTACCGACAGATGTCTCTGCTTTTGCGCCGCCCCGCCGGGCGCGAGGCCTATCCTGGCGATGTGTTCTACCTCCACAGCCGTCTGCTTGAACGTTCGGCGCGGCTGGACGAAGAACACGGCGGCGGCTCCATCACCGCTTTGCCCATCATCGAGACTCAGGCAGGTGACGTGTCGGCTTATATCCCGACCAACGTGATTTCCATCACCGACGGACAGATCTACCTGGAAGCGGAGCTGTTTAACGCCGGCATCCGCCCCGCGGTTAACGTGGGTCTGTCGGTGTCTCGCGTGGGTGGCGCCGCCCAGTCTCGTGCCATTCGCAGGGTGGCGGGACGTCTCCGCCTCGACCTCGCCCAGTACCGCGAGTTGGCGACCTTCGCCCAATTCGGTACGGCTGATTTGGACGCTTCTACACGTTCGCAGCTGGCGAGAGGCCAATTGGCTACCGAGGTCCTCAAGCAGGCCCAATACGCCCCCCCTGCCTCTGGACCAGGAAGTGGTGATCCTTTTCGCTGTCAACTCCGGCGCGATGGAGGATATCCCGCTTGAACGAGCCGGGGAATTTGAGGATGGATTGCTCCGCCACGTGTCCAGCAGCCATCCGGACATCCTGGAAAGCATCACCGAGACCCGGGACATTACCGATGAGACCGAAGCAAAGATGAACCAGGTCATCGCGGACTACAAGTCAACGTTCGGCATCTAGGGAACTGCCCATTCGCCCTGACCCTTTCCAGGAAGGATTGGCAATTCAAGGGGAAAAGAACAGAGAATGCCCAGCGTCAGAGATATACGCCGCCGTATCCGCAGCGTGGAAAACACCGGCAAGGTGACCAACGCCATGTCGCTTATTGCGGCATCCAAGATGCGGCGCGCCCAGAATGCGGTGCTGCAGGGTCGGCCCTACTCGGAGAAGATCCAGGACGTGATCGCTCACCTCGCCGCCCAGCCCTCCGATGACGCTTCCGCATCGCAGCCGCTGCTGCAGGTGCGGCCGGTCGAACGCATCGCGGTGCTGGTGATCAGCCCGGACCGCGGCCTGTGCGGAGGGATGCACGCCAACCTGAACCGTCGCGTGGGCCAGTTTATGCTGGACCAGGGTGTTCCAGTACAGGTCGTGGCGGTGGGGCGCAAGGGCCGCGACTTCATGGTGAGGTCCGGCAGCGACCTAAGGGCGGTCTTCACCGATCTGGGAGAGACCCCCTCGCTTTTTGATACCGTGGTCATTTCCGATATGCTCGTCGATCTCTACGCGGAATCCGAGGCCGACGAGGTCTACGTGGCCTACACCCGCTTCAATTCCACCCTGTCGCAGACCCCTGTTGTGGAGCGCCTGCTTCCGATTACGCCTTCAGAGCTGACCGGAGCTGAGCGGGTGGGCTATATCTACGAGCCCGACAGCCTGGTTGTGTTGCAGAGGATCCTGCCACGATTCATTGAGATGCAGGTTTATCATGCCCTGCTGGAGTCCATAGCCAGCGAGCAGTCGGCTCGCATGGTTGCCATGCGCAACGCTACCGACAACGCCAAGCAACTCGGCGAAGACCTGACCTTGGTGATGAACAAGCTGCGCCAGGAAAGCATCACCAACGAGCTGCTCGATCTTGTTGGCGGAATGGCAGTGCTCGAGAAGTAGCTTAACCCAATGGTCCGGTTAAGCATAAATTAGACTGACAGATTCTAGGGAGGCCCCTTATGGCCACCGGCAAAATTGTACAGGTAATTGGTACCGTAGTTGACATCGAGTTTCCCGCCCAGGAGTTGCCCAGTCTCTTCGACGCGGTGGTGGCGGACAACAACGGCGAACGGCTGGTGTTGGAGGTCCAACAGCACATGGGCAACAACTGGGTGCGTTGCCTTGCCCTGGGTGCGACCGATGGTCTGGCGCGCGGCGTCGAGGCCATTGACACAGGAGAGCGCGTGACCGTTCCGGTAGGGCCTGAAACTCTCGGTCGGCTGTTCGACGTTACGGGCACCCCGCTTGATAATTTGGGACCGGTGGAGACCCCTTTGCGCTGGCCCATCCACCGCGACCCGCCGGCATTCGACGACCAGAGCCCCAGCATCGAAATTCTGGAAACCGGCATCAAGGTGTTTGACCTGATCACTCCCTTTATGAAGGGCGGCAAGATCGGCGCCTACGGAGGCGCCGGGGTCGGCAAGACCGTGATCATTCAGGAGCTCATTCGCAACATTGGCGCGGTCCACCAGGGTGTGTCGGTGTTTGCCGGCGTGGGCGAACGGTCCCGTGAGGGCAACGACCTCTGGCACGAAATGCAGGATTCCGGAGTACTTTCCAGCACTGTGTTGGTCTTCGGACAGATGAATGAATCCCCTGGTGTGCGCGCTCGTATCGGGCTGACCGGGCTGACCATGAGCGAGTATTTCCGGGACGAGCAGAATCAGGACGTGCTGCTCTTCGTCGACAACATCTACCGGTATATTCTGGCCGGCATGGAAGTGTCGGCGCTTCTAGGCCGGATGCCCTCGGCGGTGGGATACCAGCCCACTCTGGGCACCGAGATGGGCGCACTCCAGGAACGCATCACCTCTACTCGGAGCGGTTCCATCACGTCGTTCCAGGCTATCTATGTGCCTGCCGACGACTACACCGATCCTGGTATCGTCACCACCTTTGGCCACCTCGACGGCGTGGTCTCACTTGAACGTTCGCTGGCAGCCCAGGCTCTGTATCCGGCGGTGGATCCGCTGGCGAGCTACTCCCGCATGCTCGAACCCCGCATCGTGGGTGAGGAGCATTACCGGCTGGCCCGTGGCGTTCAGCAGGTGCTTCAGCGCTACCGGGAGCTGCAGGATATCATCGCCATTCTCGGTATCGAAGAGCTGTCCGAAGAAGACAAGTTGACGGTGTTCCGCGCACGCAAGATCCAGCGGTTCCTGACCCAGCCGTTCTTCGTTGCGGAGACCTTCACCAGCCAGCCTGGCAAATATGTTCCTCTGCGGGAAACTGTCCGCGGCTTTTCCGAAATTCTCGATGGCCAGCACGACGACCTTCCGGAGCAGGCCTTCTACATGGTCGGCACGATCGACGAAGCAATCGAGAAGGCCGAGGGAATCCGGGCGCAGGGTAACAGACCGCTATGCCGATGATGCTGGAAATAACCACTGCCGAGCGGCAGGTATACGGCGACGAAGTCGACATGCTCATCGCCCCGGGCATCGACGGGCAGCTTGGCATACTGCCGCGCCACGCCCCGCTGATGACCATGCTGCAGCCCGGCGAATTGACCATCCGCAAGAATGGCGCGGACAGCTACTTCGCCGTAAACCGGCGGGTTCATGGAAGTCCTCGGCGACCGCGTTATCATCCTTGCCGATGCCTGCGAGCACTCCGAGGAAATTAACGAGGAGCGCGCCCAGGAAGCAATGCGCCGCGCCCAGGAACGCATAGCCAGTCGCCCCGCTGAAATGCAGATGGAAAGGGCTTTGACGTCGCTGCGAAGGGCCCAGGCCCGCTTGGATACCGTCCGGCGCCGCCGCTCCCGGGCCGGTTCAGGTCAGCTCCCACCGAGCGTCAGCTCCTCAGGATAACCATCCCGGCGGTACTGCGGGCGGTCTTTTCGGCGATAAGGCAGATGAAAAATCCCCTCCCAATTTGGGAGGGGATTCTCCTTGGGGCTAGTCGTCGTTGGAGGTGTTGATATAGTAGGTCATGGACTGGAGGGAAAGGACAGGGTCGATGTTGCGGATCCTGACACCCTCGCGAACGTGCGGAATGATCGGGGCGTAGTTGAGGATGGCCCGTATGCCGCAGGCGACCAACTGGTCCACAACCTCCTGTGTGTCAGAAACCGGCACCGCGACAATGGCGATGCTTATCTTCCGTTCATCGACAACGCTTCTCAGGTTTTCCAGGGAATGAACCATTAGCCCACCCACGTCGCTGCCAATCACGTCCTTGTTAACGTCGAAAGCCGCTACCAGGTGGAAACCATCCGGCGTGAAACCCGGATAGTTGACGATGGCGCGCCCAAGCCGCCCCACGCCAACGACCGCGACGTTCCAGAAAGCGTTTACGCCGAGAATCTGCCGCAGACGGTCAAGGAGATCGTGTACGCTGTAGCCGCGACCCTGCTTTCCAAATCGGCCGAAGTAGCTCAAGTCCTTGCGAATCTGGGCCGGTGTAACCTGCAGCTTTTCCCCCAACTGCTGCGAGCTGACAACAGTGATGCCGTCCTCCATCAGGCGGTTGAGGATGCGCAGATACTGGGGCAGCCGGCTTACGACCACCTCGGGCACTTCTGAGCGCGAAAAATCAGTGGACATCGGGACAACGGCCATGGGCCATCTGCTCTCCTCGCCGAGCAGTTTGAAATGGGGACGCCAATCGGACTTGGTACAATTATAATCTAATTGCCAACCTGAACTCCGTCAACAAAACGAGGGGTTCGCGGGCGCAGAGGGAGACGGCGGGACTCTCTTATCTATGGAAGCCGTTTGACCCGGAGTGTTGTGATTTGCACGTAGGAATCTGCAAACTGACTTTCTATCTTCCCGAGGCCTCCAGCCTGAAGGAAAAGCGGCAGATAGCAAGGTCAATGACCGATCGCATACGTAACCGGTTCAACGTGGCAGTAGCTGAAGTTGAGGACGGCGACCTTCGTCAGCGGCTTACGTTGGGCATTTCCTGCGTGAGCAACGAACGGGGCCACGCGGATTCGATGCTTTCCAGCGTTATTGATTTCGTGGAAGAATCCCGATTCGATGTGGATCTTGTCGACGTTCAGCTGGAAATAATCGGGGGCGTGTAGAACGGAGCCACGTCACCCACGGCTAGTCCATTCCTGAATTCCACCAAAGCGCGGGCCATAATGTGTCCGGCTACATGCTGCACATTGTTGTGAGTCGCTCCGAGTAGCGTGACGAATCGCTTGGGGCGGTTGGCCGCCATGTAAAGCTTCATTCCTTGCCAATGGGGGACAATTTCGTCCAGTTCGCCATGAAGCACCAGCAGTGGGGCATGAACCCTTGGAATGCGTTTCATGGAGTTGTAGTGTCCGCGGACCAGCCAGCCGGCCATCGGAATCCGCAAAGTGAGGCCGGCCATATCCTTGATGGACGAAAAAGGCGCAACGAGCGCCATTCCCGCTGGAGGGTGGTGAACAGCAATCTCAATCGCTATCGCCGCACCGAGAGAGTGGCCGAAGTAAACGATGCGTTGCGGATTTATATCCGAACGGGACCTCAGGTATTCCAGGGCGGCACGGGCGTCTAGGTATGTGCCCCGCTCGGTAGGCTGCCCCTCGCTGTTACCGTAACCCCGGTAGTCGAAGACGAACTGGTGCACTCCCAACAGGCGATGCGCCTGTTCCAGTTGGCCGACCCGCGTGCCCAGGTTTCCACCATTGCCGTGAAACCACAACCAGGTCTGCGTATTTGGGCCGGAGATGCCAGACGGGCCGGGCACAAACCATCCTTGCAGCCTCAGACCGTCCTCCGACGTCAGATACACGTCCTCGTATCGAAGTCCGTTCAGGGCTGGGGTGCCCGTAACCTCGGATTCAGGATAGAACACTAACCGCTTTTCGGCCCAGGCCCACAACATTATCGGTTTTGCACGGCCCTACGGTGAAATCGCGGTTTGACCCCTGGTTTTCAACAGTTCGAGCAGCCCGGAAGAAAAATCTCGCTTGGTCAGCACAGCGTCACAACCCAGCGCTCGGGCCTTCCGCAATGTTTCCGCGTCCCCATGGGGCCCGTAGGCGATGAGCGGTGTCGTGGGGCCGCTGCCACTGCTATCCCTTAGTGCCGACGACAGCAGCGACACGCCTTCAACCCAGGTTTCCTCCTCCGCTTCGAGGTCTACCAGAGCCAGGGCTATGTCTCGCCCGGCTGTGGATTTGAGCAACCCCGCCGCCGAGTTACCGTAAACGGCCTCCATCCCGGAGCGAATGGCCGCCGACTCTATGCGAGGTATGAAAAAGAGGTTTCCCGTAAGTACCAAGGCTACCGGGGGCTGCTCTTGATTTCCATCCTGCTGTTCCGACATTTCAGCGCACCGGCGGCGCACCAAAAGGCACCGCAACGTGAGAGGGTGGATACGAATCCTGCTCGTGCAGGATGGTATCGAGCCTGTCGACGATGTCGCGCCGCTCGGGCCGGTCCTCCTCGCAGGTCGGGCACCAGACCAGCGCCCGCGACGAAAGCATCATGTTATCCTTCTTGACGGTCAAGGTCTCGATTTCAGCGGTGCAGAAGCTGCACCGGCGGATAATGGTCACTTGATCAATGGGCGGCATTGTCTCTTTCCTCCCTTGCCCGGCGTCCCCGGAAGCACTGATATGCCGCGTCCTCTCCCTGCGGTGGACTAGGCTTCCAGGCTTTCCGACAACAACTCCAGAATATCCTTGGATTCCTTTTCCCCCTGTAGTCCCTTGGACTGTATTCCTTCTGTCATCATCTGCAGGCAGAAGGGACAGGAAACGCCGACCGTTTGCGCCTGCGTCTCGAGGAAGTGTTCGGTTCGGGCGTGGTTGACCCGCTGCCCCTGGCTCTCCTCGATCCACATGTGGCCACCGCCGGCGCCGCAGCAGAACCCCCGCTGACGGCAGCGCCCCTCCATCTCCACTAGCTTGAGCCCTGGAATGGCCTTTGCCACGTCGCGGGGCTCGTCATACACGCCGTTGTGCCTGCCGAGGAAGCAGGAATCATGATAGGCGACGGTAACGTCCATCATCTTTACCGGCTTGATTCTGCCCTTCTTGATCAGCCCGTCGACGAACTGGCTGTAATGCAACACCTCGAAGTCACCACCCAACTGCGGGTACTCATTCTTCATGGTGTTGAAGCAGTGAGGGCAGATGGTCACCACCTTCTTCACATTGTAACTGTTCAGTGTCTCAATGTTCTGGGAAGCCATTATCTGGAACAGGTACTCGTTCCCCATTCGCCGCGCCGGGTCGCCCGTGCAGGTTTCCTCATCGCCGAGGATCGCGAAATCAACCCCGGCCGATTTCAGCACCTTCACCATTGAACGGGCGATGGCCTGGCTGCGCTGCTCCAGCGCCGGCGTGCAGCCCACCCAGAACAGTACCTCCGCGTCCGGCTTTTCCGCCAGCGTTGGCACGTCCAGTCCCTCGGCCCAGTCGGTGCGGGAAAACTGCGTCCCCCGCCACGGGTGGCCGCGCTGCTCCAGGCTGATAAGAGCGTTCATCGCCGTCTCGGGCGCGTTGGACTCCTCCAGCACCATGTACCGCCGCATGTCCATGATCGTCGGCACGTGCTCGACCGTAACCGGGCATTCCTCCATGCAGGCGCCGCAGTTGAGGCAGTCCCAGATGGCGGCCTCGGGGATCGCTTTGTTCAGGATCGGCGACGGCTCTACGTGCTCGGCATTGCGCTCGCCCTGGTGGCCGATTTCCACCATGTGGTCCTTGAGATTCTCGACGATGTGCATCGGCGACAACAACTTGCCGGTGATATTCGCCGGGCAAACATCGGTGCACCGCCCGCACACGGCGCATGCATAGCCGTCCAGGAGCTGCTTCCACGTGAAATCCTGCACCCTGGAAGCGCCGAACCGCTCCGCGTTCTCCAAATCCATCGCCGGCAGCGCACCGCGTGAATCCAGCGTGCGGAAGAAGGCGTTGATCGGCGCGGCCACCATGTGCATGTGCTTCGAGAAAGGAATGTAGACCGTGAAAAACAGGATGATGGCGAAGTGGATCCACCAGAACAGCCCCTGCAGCACACTGGCGGCGGACTCGCTGATCCCCCAGTCTATGAATAGACCGCCCAAAGCGCCGCCGATCAGAACGTCGGCCTCTGGACCGGTGCCGCCCTCCGCGACGTAGAAGATGTGGGTGAGGATGGTGGAGGCCATAAGCCCCGCGATCATCCCCACGATGATGATGGCGTCGGGGTTTCGGGTCAGGTCGAAGCTCAGCCGGCGCGGCCTGACCACCCAGCGTCTCGCCGCCGCCCAGATGAGCACCACCAGCAGCAGCGCAGCCAGGACGTCCAGGTAGCTGCTGTATACAGTCGCTCCGGTATCAGTGAGCAGCCACTCCGGGAAGGGCTTCCACGCCACCGCGCCGAATATAAAGATGGCGTAGGACAGCATGAATGTGAGGAAACCCCAGAATATGGCCGCGTGTCCCAGGCCGGCCCAATCGCCGAACGGCACACGTTGCAGCACCTTTTTCTGTCCCAGCACAATGGCCATCGCGCCGGTCAGGCGCTCTATGGGCCGGTCGAACCGGGCCTCGGACCTGCCCTGCAGAACGAGTCGGAATACCCGCTGGTAAAGCGCGAATCCGCCAGCCGCCGAAGCCAGAAGAAAGAGAACGTAAACGCCCACCCAGATTGGGATGGGACCAATGTCGCCTGGAGGAACCAACGGTAACGCTCCTTAATTCTCAGTAGTCGATCAGGTTGTTATTCGCGCCAATTGCGAACGTAGTTTACCTGATGACTTCTCTCAGGTGTGTCGGCGTACCGGGATTTGGGATTCTCTTTCCAGAGTTCACGCAGACGTTGCAGGGCGGCATCTCCGTCATACCCGTTGTGACGCGCCAGCCAGCATCCGATGATGGTGCCGGTGCGTCCAACGCCGCCCAGGCAGTGAATGTATACGGTACGCCCTTCAGCGATGCGCAGGTCGATAGCGTCCAGGATTTGTTTGGTGAACTCCGGGCTCTTCGGTATATCAGTGTCGGAAATTCCAAAGCGCAGGTGTTGGGCTTCGCCTATCAATTGGGCATAGGGGAGCAGTTTTTTGCCCTGGATATACTTCCACTCGCCTTCGCCTTCCGTCAGATCAATGAAGATCTCTACTCCGGCAGCGCGAAGGGCTTCGATCTTGGCAACAGAGGATTCCTCGCCTAAATTCCTGGGATACTCCCCGGCCAGCAGTTGGTCAGTGACCCAGTAACAGTATTCTATGGGTCGCTCTTTCATTGACCTACGGCCTACAGGTCCGCAACCTGCGGAATCACCTCGCGCCCCAGCAGCTCGATCTGCTTCAGCACCTGTTCCTGCGGCATGCCGGGCCACTGCATCCGGAAGATCATCATGTTGACGCCCAGCTCATCCGAGTACCGCCTCAGCTCCGACACCACGTCGTCCGGCGAGCCCAGCAGGAACCGGTCCTTGGCCAAGTCCTGGTAGGGAACGGAGAAAGATTCCTCTCCCGGCAGCGCCTTGTCCTGTCCCCAGGCCGCGTAAGCAGCGTACTTGCCCTCAAGGTAAGGCTGGCTCTCGATGTACGCGGTCTCCCGGTCCGAGGCCACATACATTTCGCGCATCATCGGCAGGTCCTCGGGGATCTTGTTTCCGTATGAGTCCAGCGCCGCAGTGTAGCGCGTCCACTGGTCTGCCACCATCGGCACCGTCGCGTGCGGGTTGATCAGCCAAGGATAGCCCCAGCGCGCTGCGCGACGAATGGCTACGTCGTTGTTGGCCGCAACCCAGATGGGCGGATGCGGCTGTTGCACCGGTCGCGTAATCAACTGAGTCTTCGGGATGGTGTAGTACTTGCCCCTCGTACTCCAGCTCGTCCTCGGTCCACAGGCGCTTGATGATGTCCAGCGACTCGTTCATCCGCCCGACGCGCTCTTCACGCTTCACTCCGAAAGCGGTGTATTCCTCGTCGCGATAACCCAGGCCGATACCGAAGACAAACCGTCCGTTGGTGATGCAGTCCAAGGTGGCGATGCTCTCGGCCAACTCCACCGGATTGTGCAACGGCAGCAGCAGCACTGTGGCCGCTACCTGCATGTCACCGGACTCGGCGGCGAGCCGTGACAGCAGCGGGAACACGGTGCTCATCTGATAGGGGGCTGCCAGGTAGTGCTGGCCGGTGGCAATCAGGCTGAACCCGGCGTCCCGGGCAGCGGCAACCTGCTCCACGCTCTCCTGTATCTTCTGCGGCATGGACTCGCCGGGAAGGTACTGATTGGTTACGAAGAATCCCAGTTTCACGGTTGCTCCTTGTCGTTTGCACCCCAATCCAGGGTGCTTTGCATCGGCCCCGTATTGTATAACAGAACAAAGAGCCGGTGCAGGTTCGATCCGCTCCTGACGGTCCGTCGTTTACCGTCTTTGGCAGCGGCGATATACTTAACACAACAGTCAATGAAAGCCGCCGACAATGAAAGCCGCCGAAACCCAGAGGATAAATGGGAACCATCGACGATTGGAAAAAGCCGTACCAAGTCTATCTGTGTCCGACGGTCTACGCAAAAGCGGAGCGTATCTCCAAGATACGTAATATGACAGTTGAGGAATGGATCGATGAGACCTTACGCAAGGCAGTAAGGGAGGCTCCGGAAGCTACGGAGGCGATGTTGCAGGCAATCAGCGAGGCGGCAAAATTCAACGGTCCCACTGCGGACATTGACCAAATGCTCAAGGAAATCGAGTCGGGCTATCTCGATAACGGGTATTTTGAGGAGTGATTTTCGTAGATTCCAACGTCCCGATGTATTTGGTGGGAGATCCCAACCCAAACAAGGATCGCGCTATCTCAACATTAAGCCGACTCCGAGGAAATTTCTCGGAGTCGGCTTGATGTTGAGGTATATCAAGAAATACTGCATCGATATTCTTCGATTAGCAGATTCGATTTCATCGACGTGGCGTTTAGCAGTCTCGACGATATTGTGCGTGACGTCCTTTCCTTCGGAATAGAGGGAGATACGCTCCGCCAAGGAACTTGTCGTGTCAGCGCCCGGAATCTCAGCCCGAGACGCCCTTCACGTCGCGGTGATGCGGTCGGCGGGGGTTACCAGGATCCTCAGTTACGACAGGGGGTTCGTTGCCGTTCCTGGCATTGAACGACTCGAATAATCAATTCAAAACACAGCGAGGCAATCATCCATGAAAATCGCAAGGTTCCAGAGCAACGGGCACGTCGCCCATGGTGTGGTTGAGGGCGATGAGGTAATCGAAATCGAGGGCGACATTTTTTCCGACTTCAAGGCCAGCGGTGAGCGGCGCAAGCTGTATGATGTCAAAGTCCTGGCGCCGACCGACCCGAAGGAGATCTGGGCTCCGGGCCTGAACTTCGCCAATCACCTGGAATTCGCCGCCGGTGTGCTGGGCGACGAGGACCCACAAGTACCGGAACACCCCGAGCCGTGGATCAAGGCGCGCAATTCCCTCACCGGCACCGGAGAGAACATCATCCTGCCCCACGACACCGCTGGCGAAGTCCACTACGAGGGTGAGGCCGTTGCTGTCATCGGCAAGCCTTGCCGGCGCGTCAGCCCCCAGGAGGCCGGCAGCTACATCTTCGGCTACACCTGCGGTAATGACGTCTCCGAGAGGTCATGGCAGAAGGACGACTGGACCTTCTGGCGCGCCAAGGGATCGGACACCTTTGCCCCTGTCGGCCCATTGATCGAGACAGATATTAACCCGCAGGCATTGGAGATGATCGTCCGGCTGAACGGCGAGGAAGTGCAGCACGGGCGCACCGAGGAAATGCTGTTCACCTTCGCCGAGATCGTCAGCTACATCAGCCAGCAAGTAACCCTGCAGCCCGGCGACCTGATCTTCTCCGGTTCCACCGGCGTAACCACCGCGCTGAAAGACGGCGACCTTATTGAGGTCGAAATTCCCGGCATCGGAGTGCTTTCCAACCCAGTGGTGCTGGAGAAAGCATAGCCTCCGTTACAAGGCTGACAACGGCGCGGGCGCGGGCTACGGATTCGCCCCGGTCATTTTCCACCGACACGGTGCACTCCACCAGCCGCAGCCCGTCCGCCGTTTGTTTGTCCACCACCGCGCCGGACAGGCTGATGGTATCGTTCGCAACAACGGGCAGCAGGTGCTCTACATCCACCCTGCTGCCCACAGCTTCGAACCGCTCCGGCGGAAAACCCTTTCCCAGTAGCTCGACTATGTAGGACTCGACCGTCTTTTCCGGCAGGGTCTCTGGATACTCGTCGTTTTCGTCAGGCTCACCGTGCAGCGAGTTGTAACGCAGGATCGTGTCCTCTGTCTCCCACTTGATGAGGACAGGAAGCGTATCCCCCAATGCCACGGTCTCGAAGTCGACGGTCATCGCCCACAGTCTTGCCATACATCCCTCCGTGGTCGGCGAGCTAACTGGCCAAGAGGCTAACATCGCGCCATGGTGGGGACAACTCACGCTGGAATCGCGCCAGCCTTTGGGGTAACCTGTTTCGCGGCCTGTGTAGCCACGATCACAAGGATATAAGGACGAATCTATGCCGGATTCCGAAAGGGAGGAACCCTACAGCCGGGCGATGGTGGTCATGGCCCATGCGGATGATGCGGAGTGGACCTGCGCCGCAACAATGGCGAAACTGTCTGCCGAGGGCTGGGAAGTAGTGTTGGTGCTCTGCACCGACGGCTCCAAGGGCAGCGATGACCCAGAGATGACATCGGAGCGCTTGGCACAAATCCGGGCGGATGAGCAGGGTGAATCTGGAAGAATCCTTGGCCTGAAGGATGTGGTATTCCTCGGATACCCCGATTCTTATCTGCAACCCACCCTGGAACTGCGCAGGGATATTGCCCGAGAAATACGCCGCCACCGGCCCACGTCGTCATCACCGAGCCGCCCACTCGTGACATCGACAGCCGCTACTACGGCAGCCACCCCGACCACTTGGCCACCGGTGAGGCCGCCCTCGCCGCCGTCTTTCCCACAGCCCGCGACCGGCTGACATTCCCGGAATTGCTGGAGGAAGGCTTGGAGCCCCACAAAGGTCCGCGAGGTCTGGATCGTCGGTGGCCTCCAGAGCTCGGACCATTTCATAGACGTCGACGGCTACATAGAGACAGCCATAGAGGCCCTGAAGGCCCACAAGTCCCAGGTCTCCCCCGAGGCTGCCGAGAAATACTTCCCCATCGGCCGTGCCGAAACAGCCGCCAAGGTTGGCCTAAAGTACGCCGAGGCCTTCAAAACTATCAAGTACCACTAGGAGAACTCCCTCGATTTGTGAGAAGAGAAGGAAATCTGTCCATCGTGAGCTTGCCGGACCACGAACGGATTTGTCGCCCCGTGATGCTCGATAGCCTCCCACCGGTTGTTCCTGGGATCTAGAGGGACGAGCGGCCGGTATATATTTGCCCGACTTATAGAGGTTTTCTGGCCGTTACCTTGAAGCTGGCGGTGTTGGTGTACGTCGCCTTATCCGACTCGTCCCAGAACTCTACGCCTTCGCCGTTGATCTCGATCTCCTCGAACCCGGCTCGGCGCATCCGGTCGATGTAGGTCTCGTGGTACTCGGCCCCGGCCGCGCAGGCAACCCAGCTTTCCGCATCAGTGACCGCCGGTCCTTCGGCGGACAGCGCCAGCACGTCCGACAGGTGGATGCGACCCCCGGGAGCCAGCACCCGGAAGCTCTCGCTGAACACGGCGTCTTTATCAGGCGACAGGCACACAACGCAGTTTGAGATGATCACATCGTACGAGTCGCTGGGCAGCGGCATCGATTCCATTTCGCCCTGCACGAACTCAACGTTGGTCAGCCCGAGGTTCGCCTGGTTCTTGCGTGCCAGCTCCAGCATGGACGGCGTCATGTCCAGCCCGGTAACGTGACCTGTCTCGCCCACCTGCTGCGCCGAGAGGAAGCAGTCGATTCCTCCGCCGGAGCCAAGGTCCAGCACCCGTTCGCCCTGCTGCAGTCCGGCCAGGGCCGTCGGGTTGCCGCAGCCGGCAGAGGCAGCGATGGACTCGGCCGGCAGTCCTGCCAGTTGTCCGTCGTTGTACAGCCGCATGGCGTGTTCCAGGTCCTCCGGGCCGCAGCAGGACGCAGAGACGTCACAGCCGCACCCGTCGGTGTGCTCACCGTCGCCGTGCTCCACCACCGGGCTCAGCTCGATCACACGCTGCGCCCGCGCCCCGTACCTTTCCCGGACCAGTTCCTTTATCTCATCGTTGTAAGTGGTCATATTCCGAGTACTCCTCAGTTGGGTCAACGTGATGTTTGGTAAATGGCAGGGCGATACTTTGGTGAAGGAACTGGCTTTCCCAGAGAGCGCGCGGCCTCAAGCCAGGCAGTCTTGGCAAGGCGCACTTCGGCCAGCGCTTCCTCAGGGGTGTCGCCAAAGGCTGAGCAGGATTCCAAATCTGGAATGTCTGCTATGTAACCCTCGTCCTCCTCGCTGTAGAAGATATTGATGTGATAGTCCTTCACTCCTAATCCTCCAAACTGAGGCCGTGCTGTTCCACGACTTTTAGGAACTGCCGAATCTGATATGGCTTGGCCTCACCCCTTACTGACTGTAAATTAACTGCGTTGGGTATATTGGGATTCTCAAAAATGTGGTGACTTCCATGTACCCGAACCAGACTGAAACCAAAACCCTCCACCAGATTCGTCATATCCCCAAATGCAACATTTCCCAGTGCCCCTCTCGTTAGTCGGGCTAATAGTCTTCTACGATTCATCCGTGTTCACATTCGATCTATTGGAAGTATAGAACAGAAATCCCTCTACGGGGACTTTTGAGGTAAAATGCCCGGTGAATCTGAACGTTGGGCAGGGATCGGCTAGCCCGGCCTTGGGATGCTATATTATGAAAGTCACCGGCTACCAGACCCGACTCCTCCACACGCCCGCCGACGATCCGCTCGCCAACAGCTTGCCCGACACCGGACGCCTGCGTGCCTTCGTCACGCTCGAAATGACCACCGACGAGGGCGTGGATGGGGTTGGCCTCACCTTCGTACCGGCTCTCACGGCAAGTCCGGTCGCGGGAGCCCTCAAGACGTCCGTGGACGCGCTGGCCGAGCTGACCATAGGCGAGGATCCCATGGAGATCGAGGGCATCGTCGCCCGCCTCCAGGAAGCGACCTCGGGCGCAGGCCCCGGCGGCCTGCTGACGATGGCTCTGGCCGCCGTGGACATGGCCCTCTGGGACATCAAGGGCAAGGCGCTGAACCAGACGGTGGCTTCCCTGCTGGGCGGCTACCGCAAGAGCGTTCCCACCTACGCCAGCGGCGCACTGATGCGTCCGGTCAATGTCGAACGCTTGGCCGAAATCGGGCCGATGCTAGTGGAAAAGGGCTTCCGGCAGATGAAGACCCAGATGGGAGCCGAGCCCCTGGCCGGTCGCGAAGTCGATCGCATCCGCACTCTACGAAACGCCGTCGGCGACGATATCGACCTGATGTGCGACATCAACCAGTTGTGGAGCGTCAACCGCGCCATCGACATCGGCCGCCGCGTCGAGGAATACCACTTGTACTGGCTCGAAGACGTGGTGGCCCACGACGACTACCAGGGCATGGCCAAGGTGGCCGACGCGCTCTACACTCCCATCTGCTCTGGTGAGTACGTCTACGGTGTCAACCCGTTCCGGCAGCTAATCGAGAACGGCTCCATCGACATCGTGATGATCGACCTGCTTCGCGTCGGCGGCATCACGCCCTGGCGCAAAGTCGCCGCCATGGCCGAGGCCTTCAATATGCCGGTCGTCAGCCACTTGGTGCCGGAGGTCCACATCCAACTGATGGCCTCCATCCCCAACGGCCTGACCGTCGAGTATATGCCCTGGTCGCTCAGACTATGGGAGGAAACCCCCAACTTCGTCGACGGGAACCTTGAGGTACCCGACAAACCGGGACTGGGACTCGCCTTCGATCAGGACGCCCTGCGGCATTACGCAGTGGCGTAACCAACGGCACAAAATTTGAATCAAAAACAGTGAGGGAAAGATATGGTTGCTCAACTGCGCACGTACACGGTCAACCGTGGCATGATGGACTCTTGGCTCAAGGTGTTCGACGAGGAAATCCGCCCCCATTCACGACAAGATCGGCATGCCCATCTCGGCCACCTTCGTGAACGCCGACCGCAATGAGTTCATCTGGATCCGCAACTTCAACAGCGCCGAGGAGATTCCGGCAAAGGAGGCCGCCTACTTCGCCTCCGACGAGCGCAAGGCCCTCGGTGACAAACCCACCAGCCACCTGGCCAAGATCGAGGTCAAGGTCATCGAGACCGTCCTCCAGCCTGCCGGCGTCGCCTAACAGTTTCCCAGGCACTCGAAAAACGTATGAGCCGGAGAACAAATCTCCGGCTCATTTTCGTTACACCGCCTTTCGCATCTCGATGTGACGGATGGCCGCCTCCATGAACGGCTCGCCGTGCTCCTCATATCCGTGGCCCGCGTAGAAAGCTTTGACGTATTCCTGCGCGTGAAGCACGAACTCGGTCACCCCCAGCTCCCTTGTCTCGTCCTCGAGGAATTGCAGTATCAGCCCGCCCACACCGCTCCGGCGATGAGCGCGGTCCACAGCCATGCGCCCGATGCGCGCCGAATCGCCGTCGATGATTGCCCGCCCGGTCCCGACGGCCACCCCCTGCAGCAGCGCGATGGCGTGAATGGCGATGGCATCGTACTCGTCCAGCTCTATCTCAGGCGGGACGGACTGCTCATCGACGAAAGACTCGGAATCGGATTCCGACTGCCGCCTCCATGTCCGCCTCGGTTTCCACCAGCCTCACGGTGATATCGCTCATATCGTGATCCTTGCAACTGAATGAAATGAGGCGCCCTGTTGAAGGACGCCTCGGCCAGGTTGTTCCGAATTCAAGGGAACGATTCTTGGCGGCCGTTAGAAGACGATGACGCCGCGGCCGATCTCGCCCTTGTCCATGTCGTCGTAGGCCTCGTTGATCTGGTCCAGCGTGTAATGGCGCACCACCAGGTCGTCCAGGTTCAGCTTGCCGGCATGGTACAGGTCGGTGAACTTGGGCATGTCGACGCGGGCATGGGTGGAACCGTAGTAAGTGCCGCGAACCGTCTTTTCCATCCGGACCATGTCAACGGCGTTAAGCGGGGCCTCGGCGCCGAAGGGCGCGATGCCCACCAGCGTCACCACGCTGGATTTCCCCGCCATCTCGTATGCGTTGCGAATGGTTTCCGTCGCTCCCACCACCTCGAAGGTGAAGTCGGCGCCCTTGCCGCCGGTCAGTTCCTTCACCCGCGCCACCGGGTCGCCGTCCGCAGCGTTGACCGTGTGGGTCGCGCCGAACTTCATGGCGAATTCAAGCTGGCTCTCGCGCACGTCCACGGCGATGATCTTCGTCGCGTTCGCCAGCGCCGCGCCCATAATGACGTTGATGCCCACGCCGCCGCAGCCAACCACTGCCACGGTGCTGCCCGGAGTGACCTTGGCGCTGTTCACCACTGCGCCGACACCGGTGGGTACGCAGCAGCCTATCAGCGCGGCCTGTGGCATGGGAGTGGGCATGTCGATGGGCACGCAGCCCATTTCAGGCACCACGGCGTACTCACGAAGCAGGCTACCTTTCCCATATGGTGTATGCGCTGCTCGCCCTTGTGCAGTCGCTGGGTGCCGTCCATCATGTTCGGCCCCGTGGCCATGTGGTTGTCGCACACCTGCGAGTTGCCCGAAAGACAGGAGTTGCAACGCCCGCAGGCGGACGAAGGACAGGATCACCTGCTGTCCGGGCCGGACCGACGTCACACCGGGGCCGACGGCCTCGACGGTGCCGGCGCCCTCGTGGCCCAGCACCACTGGCAGAGCGATCGGTGCGTCGCCGTGCATGAAGTGGCGGTCACTTCGGCAGATGCCGGCCGCGCCGATTTTCACCAGGACCTCCCCCTCCTTGGGGTCGTCCAGTTCTACATCCTCAATTACCAGGGGCGTCTTTGGCTCGTAAAGAACGGCAGCCTTCAATGTGGGACTCCTATTCAGCAGTATTCGTTTGGCCGTGTGCTTGATTGCCGTCTATATTCCAATGCGACGTGGGGCAGTGTCAATCGTGAGCTGTCACCCGCCCACGAACCCACTGACGAATTCGTCGATCAGGAGGTGCTCCTGCTCCGCGACCAGTTTGCCGTTCGCTATGACGTCTCGCAGCCTCCACCGGCCGAAGATCACCATTGCGTAGGTGCCCGAATCGCAGACGAAAATCACGTCCGGCTCTCCCCCGCCCTCGATCTCGAAGCTCGCCCCCTCCGGCGCCCGCACTACGTCGACTGCCGAAGGGTTCGGCACGCCCAGGGTGAAGCGATATCGTACAGCACCCCTTCGGGAAGGATCGGGGCGGAAAGCCCGCCGCACCGCCCGGCCAGAGGCGTAGACCAGACCCGGCAGGCTGCCCTCGTCTAGCGTCGCGCCGGGGTCGAAGGCCCAGCGCATGTCCCACTCGTGCATCGCCAGCTCCGCGATGCGTATGTCGGCCTTTGAGCGCACGGTCTCGGGGCGCAGCCGGTGGTAGCAAAGCTTGTCCCAGTCGTCAGGTTGCACCGGCGATAGCACCCGGTCAAATTCACGGTTGACGCTGGCGACTCGTCCAGCAGGCGGTCGCCCAGCTCCTGCCGCAGGGTGACCGCCCGGCGGTCCAGGTCCGCGGAACTGGTCCTCGTTCAGCGGCGGATCGTCCAGCGCGCCAGGAGGGGCCGAAATGTCTCCAGCCAACCCGCGCTCAATCTGGCCGGGGATGGGCCCACCGCGTTCTATCAGGTGCCCCACCACATCGCCGACGGTCCATCCATCACAGGCGCTCTGCCGCGCCAGGTCGTCCTGGCTCAGCGTGCGCAGGCAGCTCTCCAGCCGTTTCCCCGCCCTGGCTATCTCCTCTCGACGGGCGTCGTCAGCGTTCATGTGCTCTCCGTTGTTTTTCCGCCATCGTTCGTTCGCTGGATTGTCCAGTGGGGTCAGGGCTCTGTCAACAGCGGGCGCACGCCTGAGAGCCGCTCTCGATCACCCGGAACGCAGCGCCGCCTCCTGACACAGGGCAATCGCGTCTTAAACGCTGCAGGCCCTATTGGTCGTCATTCCCGCGCAGGCGGGAATCCAAACCACCGCCTACCCTCGCACGCGGAACCGAAGGAGGCACTGCCACTCCCATCTCCACCGCCATTCAGACCAATTTTGTGTGCTGAGTAATAAGACGCGATTGCCCTGCCTCCTGACACCAATCTCTTGAAATCCAGGCTTAGATTCGATAAAATCAAACACATGTTCGTGTCGCCAGCGCACCACTCGCCCACCTTTACCTCGCATGGGAAGATCATCGCCTGCCTCCGATGCGAACCGGTGTTGAGACACCCCCGGCTCTACTTCATCCGGATTCCGTAAAAATGATCGGAAATGATCGGATTTGAGCGGAAAATCGAATATTTCCCACGGGACAAGAGACGCTCCAGTATCACCAGGTCAATCGCGTCTTAAACGCCGGAGGCCCTATAAGTCGTCATTCCCGCGAAAGCGGGAATCCAAACCCCCGTCTACCCTCGCACCCGGAACCGAAGGAGGCACTTCCACTCCATCCGCGTCACGTCATTCAGACCAATGTTTTGTGCTGAGCAATAAGACGCGATTGCCCTGCTAATATCACCTTGGGCGGCGCCTTGCGCCGTCTCAAGAGGGAGTCAGAACCCGATACTCTTGGACCAGGGCGACTCACGACAGGGCAAACCCGAAAGGCTCCTCGACTCCCCAATCCCAAAAGATACTCAACGAAACCACCGGAAATTACCTGCAAAACAAATTCTTCTGAAAGCTTATCTTTCAGCGGGCATTGCTGACCGTTTCCGCGAACACTTCATAATTGCGCATGGCAGGCCGATGTTTCTGTTCCTCCTGCGCGGCTTTTGATGGATAATGACCGTTGGATATTACGCTATTCAAGCTGGATCCTAGGCTGTTTAAAGAGGTAACGATATGTCGCAACTGAGCGAAATCGCAGCGTCTGTTGGCGCACTGTTGAAGGAGACCGGACAGTCCATCAGCGTCGCTGAGTCGTCCTGTGGCGGACTGATCTCCGCCGCGTTGGTTGCTATCCCGGGGGCCTCTGACTACTACGTCGGCGGCAGTGTCATCTACACCCGCGTGGCCCAGAGGGGCCTCCTGTTAGTGCCGGACGTCGCCATGGAGGGTATGCGCGCCAGTTCCGAACCCTACGCCCAACTCAACGCCCGCACCACGCGGCAGTCGCTGAACACTGTGTGGGGCTTGGCCGAGACTGGCGCCAGTGGTCCCACCGGCAACCGCTACGGCGACAACTACGGACATGCCTGCATCGCGGTTGCCGGTCCGATTGAGAAGGCGATCACCGTCGAGACCGGCGACCCGGACCGCGAGGCCAACATGTGGGTATTCGCCGAGCGCGCCTTCGCCCTGCTCGAGGAGTGCATCCGCGAGTCGCGCCAGTAGGAGTCGGGAAATGGTGGAAGTTGAGGCAAAACTGGCCCAGATGGGCTACGAACTGCCCCCGGCCCCGGATCCGGTGGGAAACTATGTTTCCATCACCCGCAGCGGCTACATAATGTGGCTGTCAGGTGTGGGCTCCCGGCGGGCTGGCGGCGGGCGAATCTCGGGAAAGCTGGGCGCCGACCTGACCGTCGAGCAAGGCCAGGACGCTGCCAGGTGGGCCGCCCTCAACCTGCTCGCCCGGATGAAAGCCGAGCTGGGCGATCTGGATCGCGTGACCCGCATCCTAAAGGTGGTGGGCATGGTCAACAGCGACCCGTCCTTCACCGAACAGGCTGCGGTGGTCGACGGTGCATCCAACCTGTTCGTTGCCCTGTACGGCGAACGCGGACGTCACGCCCGGTCCGCACCCGGCATGGCCGCACTCCCCGGCAACATCGCCGTCATATGCGACTGCGTCATCGAGGTCGACCGGCAAGACTGGGAGGCATGGGATTAGCACCGTTGGTCCAAAACACCCTGCTTTACAACGAGCTGGCCTATCTCTGGCCCGCCATCAGCCCGCCGGAAGACTACGCGACAGAGGCGGTGGACTGGCGTAACGCCCTCCGCAGATATCTCGGTGCGGGCAGGCATAGCCTCTTGGAGCTTGGCGTTGGAGGCGGGCATAACCTGTCCCATCTCACTGCGGAGTTCGATGCGGTGGCGGTGGATATCATCTCCCCCAACATGCTGGAGAACTCCCGCCGACTGAATCCCACGGTCGAGCACCACGTCGGCGATATGCGGTCGTTCAGGTTGACGGACCGTACTTTCGACGCTGTCCTGATCCACGACGCCATCTGCTACATGCTGACCGAGGATGACCTGCGCGCGACCTTCGCTACCGCCCGAGCCCACCTGCGACCCGGCGGCCTGCTGCTGGTGGCCCCCGACCTAGTGCGAGACACCTTCAGGCCCGGTATGAAGATGAGCTGGTCAACGGAGAGGGGCGAGGTGCAGATAACCACCGAGGAGACCGTCTACGACCCCGACCCCGCCGACACCACGGTCGAGTCGCACTTCACCTACACCATCACCGAGCGGGGTTCTCGCCGCGTCGAGCGCGACATCCACATCACCGGCCTGTTCCCCATTGCCACTTGGATGTCGCTGATGGACGAAGCCGGGTTCCGGACCGACCGCATTCCCCTCCCCGGTGATGGCGATGGTTGCGGCGAGCACCTCTTCTGCGGCGTGTTGACTCAATGAAAAGGACGCCAACACCGTCATTCCTGCTCTCGCAGAAATCCAGGTATTCTGGCGCCCTTTAAACTACCAGAAACGCGGCCTGTGAATTCCCGTGAAAGCGGGAATGAAGAATGGCGCTAGCGGACCAGGTTCTCAGCCATCTTTTCGAGCTGGTCGCCCATCTCCTGGTCGGTGTCGCAGTGGGTTGGCCACACGCACACTCGCAGTGCGCCGGCGTTAGAAGGTCATCAACCTCCTGCCGGGTGGTCTCCGGCGCTCGCCCGAAGACCGAGATGGTCAACGACCCCGGATCGCGTCCCCGCTCGTCGGCCAGAACGTCCAGCACCTTGCGGCCTTCCTCGACCTGCTCCGGTGTCACCCGATTGGGCAGCCAGCCATCGCCATAGCGGGCCACACGCTGCAGCACGTTGCGTGCCATGCCGCCCAGCAGGATTGGCGGGTGCGGCTGTTGCACCGGCTTGGGGTACATGTAGACCGGCGGGAAATCATAGTAACGGCCGTGAAACTCTGCCTCATCCTTGGTCCACAGCTCCTTGAGCGCGGCCACGGCCTCTTGGGTCTGTGTCCAGCGGTGGTCGAAGTCGCCGCCCATCATCTCGGTCTCCTCGCGGTTCCACCCCGCGCCTATACCGAATACGAACCGGCCGTTGCTGTGCCGGTCCAGCACTGAATCTCCTTGGCCAGGATCAGCGGATTGCGCTCCGGCACCAGGGTGATGCCGGTACAGAGCTTGATCTTGCTGGTAACCGCAGCGGCCATGGCCAGCGAGATGTACGGCTCGGAGAAGTGGGCGTAGGTCCAGGGAATCTCCCCGCCGGTGGCCGGGAACGGCGATGCGCTGTGCACCGGCAGGATGGGGTGCTCGTGGTACCAGAGGGACTCGAAGCCCAGGTCCTCCGCCTTCTTGGCAATGAAAGCCGGGTCCAGGGTGTAGGCCGGTAGCGGTACGATCACGCCTACGGACATATCATTCCTCCGTATGAGAGTTCTTTCCCCTAGGGGAGAGGCTCAGGATCAGGATCATCCTCCTATGTCGTCGCTCCCAAGATTACCATGATCACCCCCGCAAACGCTCAACACCGTGCCCACGGCCAGCACCCAGTTGAGCGACTCCATCTGGCGCAGGAACACTGAGGCTAACGCCAGCGCAATGATGGGTTGACTGGCGTATATCGGCGTGACAATGGTCACAGGCGCTCGGCTGAAGGCGTGGAAAAGAGACGCAACCGCGATCCCCTGGAGCAGCCCGGCCAGGCAGCAGATGCCCACGTATTTCATCGGCTGGTTTCGGATGCTGTTTATCACCCCGCGGTGTATGAACGCGAACAGGATCGCTCCGCCGATGACCAGCGCAAACCCTGACACCACAAATGGTGGAGCCAGCTCCAGGCCCCCCAGCACATGCCGGCTGATAGCGTCCCGGGTCACGTACGCCAACGAACCGCCGAAGGCCAGCAGGTAGCCGAGCTTGCGGATTTCGATCGTCGCAGGATTCCCCCGTCGCGGCAACATGACCAGCAGAATGCCCGCCACGATGATTGGGGTACCCACAGTGATCAGCAGGTTGGGCCGTTCGCCCAGTATCAGGAACCCGATGGCAAAGGCCATCAGCGGTTGTAGCGAGATCATCGGCACCGATCGTGCGGTGCCCACCATCTGGATTGCCGTGTTGTGCAGCACCCGGGCCACGCAATAGGCCAGGATGCCCATGACGGTGATCCATCCGTAGGCTTCCAGTGGCAGCGTCTTGATCTCGTCGAAGTCGACGGCGAACGCTATGCCGGTGACCAGAACCCGCCCACCAGCACGGTGTAGAAGGTGGCTACGGGAGGCGCGACGTGCTGCGTAGCGACGCGCATCAAGACGCTGCCTGTGGCGAAGCCACAGGCAGACACAAAAGCAAGGACAACCGCGACTACCAAATCACGACAGCCAGTCTGCCACCCTTTCGCCTATCATGATCGCGGAGGCGTTCGTGTTGGCCCTCGGCACCCTGGGCATCACCGAGGAGTCGGCGACCCAAACGCCGTCAATACCGCGCACCTTGCATTGCTGGTCGACGACCGCCATCGGATCGTCGTCGGTGCCTATCTTGCAGGTGCCTGAAACGTGGCGGGCCGACCCGACGGTGCGCTTCATCCACAGGTCGAGACTGTCGTCGTCGTTCAGCACCTCGTCGGCCGGGGCGATGCGGCCCTCACAGACATCCCTGTATGCCTCGGTCTCCAGCATCGTGGCGGCCAACCGTACCCCGTCGCGTAGGCGGCGGGTGTCCTCCGGGTGCTCGAAATAGCGATAGTTGAAGTCCGGCTGCATCGTCGGATCTGCGGAAGCCAACCGCACCCAACCGGAGCCCTCGGGCAGTTCGAGCACGCAGGTCACGCGGGCTGTTCCGTCGTCCATTACCTCTCCGGTCAGCGCGTTGAAGACCGAACTGGTGGTCATCATCATGTCGCTTACGTGCGACGAACCCTCGGCGGTGTAGCGCAAGGCGATACGGGTGCCGAGGTTGTCGGCGGCCAGTGTTACCCCCTCTTTCACCTTGTAGGAGACGGTGGTAATGGCGTGGTTCCAGAGGTTCTGGCCCACTCCCGGCGCCTCGTGCACCACCGGGATTCCGAACTCATCCAGCTGGTCTTGCGGGCCCACGCCCGACAGCATCAGGATGTGCGGCGACTTGAGCGCGCCCGCCGACAGCACGATCTTCTCGGCCTCGACGATGAACGTCTCACCGCCGCTCTCTGCCTCGACGCCTACAGCCTTGCTCCCATCAAACACGATCCGACGCACGAAGACTTCACCGCGTACGGTAAGGTTCAGACGGTGCCTCGCCGGGCTTAGGTGCGTAAGAGCGGTGCTCATCCGCACGCCATTCATATTGTTCATCGGCACCAGGGCCAGACCGAGATGATCCGGGCCGTTCATGTCCGATGCCGATGGGTGTCCGGACTCCACGCAGGCGGAATGAAAGACGGACTGGATTTTCGGCCAGTTTCCGCCGTTGTCCCGGCGAGTGATTGGCAGTGGGCCTTCGGAGCCGTGGAAGTCGTCCTGGATGTCCAGGTCGGTCTCCATCTTGCGGTAATAGGGCAGCACATCGAGGTAAGACCATTCGTGCGCGCCCTTGTCCACCCACAGCTCGAAGTCCTCCGGCAGACCGCGAAGAAACACCTGTCCGTTGATTGAGCCGCCGCCGCCGATGACCTTGCCTTGGGCCACATGCGCAGGCCCCTGCTCCTCCGATAGCGTTCCTCGCAGAGCCCAGTTGTGCTTCGACTCCGGCGCCTCTGCGGTGCGGGTGTGCCCCAGCCGTATGTCGTCGGGCAGGTCTCAGGATCAGGATAATCGGGCCCGGCCTCCAGCAGCAGGACCGAAACATTGGGATCCTCGGACATCCGAGCCGCCACAACCGACCCGGCAGAACCACCCCCAACAACGATAACGTCGTACTTCATCTGGCCTCCAATTTTCAGGCAGTGACATCCTGCCCCTTATGCTCTGTGCAATTGGCTATGTTATGGCCGCCAGGAACTCGTCAGTGCTGATGACGGTTCCCTGACGCGGATACACCTTCTCGGTCAATACACGATGGACCTCCGGGTCCGCATCCGAGCATGCGTCGGCGACCACGACAAAACTGTAGTTCACATCGACCGCCCACCGGACGCAGGAGAGAACACAACCGCTGGTGGCCACGCCCATCACAACCAGATTGTCCCTTCCCATCTCCCGCAGACCGACGTCCAGAGCGGTGGTCGAGAAGGGTCCGGGCTTGGTCTTGGTGATGATTAACTCGCCTTCCGCCGGCGCCACGCCCCCGTGCAGTTCCACGTCGGGAGCGTACTCGGCGAACGGCCCACCCCGGTGAACCACGTAAATGACCGGGATGCCAGCGGCACGGGCACCTTCCAGGGCGCGGGCGGCGTTTCGAACCACTGCCTCCGGTTCCGACGCCACGTTATTCACAATGCGCTGCTGGAAGTCCATTATCAGGACGGCTGTCTTGGATGCGTCGATTTTCGGGGCCGTTTGGGTCATTTCAAGCCTCCCAGATTACTTACTTAGCAATTAGGGTTCTGTCCATCCCACAACCTTCACTCACTTCCCCAGTCAGGAATGGCTGTCGCTTCTCTAACCCACCTCGCCGCTGACCCAAGCCCTTATCAGGTGGTGGGCAATGGCCGTGGGGCCGGGAATGGCGAGGATCTCGCTCCTCTCCTCCAGCGCCAGCCGTACCTCATCGCGGGTGAACCACTGTACGTCAGCCATTTCCTCAGGTTCGAAATGGATTTCGGTGGTGGCGGCATCGGCGTGGCAGCCTATCATGAGCGAGGACGGGAAGGGCCATGGCTGAGAGGAATGGTAGCGCACTGCACCCACCTGTATCCCGGCTTCTTCCATCACCTCACGGGCCACGGCTTCTTCTATCGACTCACCCTGGTCCATGAAGCCTGCCAGCGCCGAGTAACGTCGCATGGCGACGAGACGCTCCCGCGATTGTCCCAGCAGGCAGCGTTCACCGTCGTGCACCACGGTGATGATCACAGGATCGGTGCGTGGGTAATGCTCGGTGCCGCATCCACCGTCCTCCTTGGGACGGCAGCGCCGTACCTGCCCGCCGCGGGAGATGTGGTGGGGAGTCCGCAGACGGAGCAGAAGCCGTGGCGTCCGTGCCAGCTCAGCTGCGCCCGGGCCTGGGCCACAATGCCCGAGTCGGTGCCGCTCATGTATTCGGCGGTGGTCCGTGCGTCCTCGAAAGTCAGCCCGTCCCGCTCAATGTTGCCTCGGTCCACGGAGGAAACATCCAGGACGAAATGGGACACCCCGTCCAGCAGGCCAAGGAAAACGAGTTCCCCCTCCGCGTTTAGGCGGTGCACTTCGTCCGGGTTCATCCAGGTCAGGGCGTGATCTGCCGAGACCGGCACGTTCAGTTGCCACATCGGCAGAATGCGGCTGGACTGGTCGCTGGCCTGGGGCCGTCAGCCACTCTTCGTCGCGCCGCTCCACCTCACCCCGGTTCATCGGGTTGCCCGCGAAAACGTGGGTCATTCGCTCGCGTCGTTCGTTCATAGTTCCGTCCGCTCAGAAGTCATCGCGCTATTCTACAACAACGGCGCGACGTCGTACTGTTGCCGGATCAGGCTGACGACGGGGTCTGTCGTCCTTGCAACAACCAGATTCCATGGGGCCGAGAAGACCCGGATGACTTTTTGTACAAGAGGGGCGAATGCGCTGCTCCCCACCGAGATGTTGACAGTTGCCGACTCCTCGCCTAATGTGGGCGATGGAAACAGAATAGCGCGCGGTGCCTTGCTGTCGCATTCGGGGCAGCGGGGAGAATAGGGAAGCCGGTGTAACTCCGGCACGGGCCCGCCACTGTAATTGGGGAGTCCTTCGGCAAGGTGTATTCCTGCCACTGCCCGGCAATGGGCGGGAAGGCGCCGGGGGGCCTAGATCCATGAGTCAGGAGACCTGCCGCGCATTGTCCAGCCGCTTCGTGGATTGAGCGGGCAGGTTTGTATGCCATCAATGCCCCCGTCCCCTCGCAGGGCGGGGGCTTTCATTTTTCCGGCGTTTGGTCGCTACGAGGTACGCAGAATGAAACGGGCAGAATTTCCGCTGGAGCAACGGCGAGGCCTCTACCGGGCCATCTACGAGAGGCGGGACATCCGGTTGTTCCGCGACGATCCGGTGCCACCTGAGACGCTGGCCCGCATCGTCAGGGCCGCCCACCATGGACCGTCGGTGGGTTTCATGCAACCCTGGGACTTCATTATGGTGAGCGATGTCGAGACTCGGGGCCGGGTCAAGGATCTTTTCGTGAGAGAGCGTCAGGCTGCCGCCCAGTTCTTCGACGACGCCCGACGCGACCAGTACCTTTCGCTTAAATTGGAAGGAATCCTGGAGGCTCCGGTAAATCTGTGCATAACCTGTGATCCCGTCAGGGGTGAGGAGGTGCTGGGGCGCAACTCAATGCCGGAAACTGATGTCTATTCCACCTGCTGCGCTGTGGAGAACCTGTGGCTGGCGGCGAGGGCCGAGGGGGTTGGTGTGGGCTGGGTCAGCATCCTGAAGCTTCCGCAACTCCGCCGGATACTGGGCATACCGCCCCATGTCGTCCCGGTGGCCTACTTGTGCCTGGGTTATCCCGTGGAGTTTCCCGCCGCGCCGGTGCTCCAGTCCACTGGCTGGCGCGACCGCCTGCCGCTGGATGAACTGGTGCATTACGATGGCTGGGGGAAGCAGCCCGCGCAAGGCTACTGGGAGGAAGTGCAGGAGGCCCTTGGCGCCGATGTCGACCCGTGCAACGGCGATTAGCTGGAAGCACTCTCCCTGAGCCGCCCCCAATGTCTTTAACCAGCCCTTACCATATCCGGTCCGCGCCATGTGAGGGCTCCGCTGCACATGCAATGTGGCGGCGCTGAGTGCGCCGCCACAAGCCTTCCAGCAGGTTCGGATTGAGCCGGATCACAGGTTCAGGGGGTGTTCCTCGTAGTCCCTGACCTTGTCGTAGATCTGCAGCCGGTGCCGGAATGCTTCCAGCACGTAGATGCTGTCGTGTTCGTCTACGATCACCGACACGGGACGGCGGAAACGCCATTCCGGCTCCAGGTCGACCCGGCGGCGTGCCTTCACGATGTCCGGATTGGCGTCGATGTAGGTCTGCGTCCACGGTGACGGTTGCTGTGCATCACCCACCAGCGAGGTTATGAACCGCCCGTCGGATGCGTAGACCTGCAGCAGATGAGCGCCCCAGTCAGTGACGTAAACGTCGCCATCGGAGTCCACTGCCACGCTGGTCGGACGCTCAAGGGCACCCACTCCGGAGACGGAGGCCTCGAACTTGAGCAGCAGGTTGCCGTCGCTGTCAAACTTCTGCACCCGCTGGTTGCCCCAGTCGGCCACGTAGACCGCGCCATCGGAGCCGATGCAGACACCCCACGGCATATCGAGTTCCCCGTCGCCACTGCCGTGGCTGCCGAACCCGCCCAGGTACTCGCCGTCGCGTGTGAAGCGCAGGACGCGGTGGTTCAGGCTGTCCACCATCACCACGCTGCCATCCGTGTCGAAAGCTATGCCGGCAGCTCCGTTGAGCTGGCCCGGACCACTGCCTGCCTCACCCCAGCTGGACACAAAAGCGCCTTCCGGGTCGAAGATCGAGACGCGGTTAAGGAAGTCATCGGTGGCGAATACGTTGTTGTCGTCGTCCAGAGCGATGGCGCGGGGCCAGATGAACTGCCCGTCGGCGCGGCCGAATGCTCCGACTGCCCGAGGAACTGGTGGTCGAGGGTGACGCGGCTGACGCGCTGGCCCAGTTCTTCGGCGCCCCGGTTGATGACGTACACGATGCCCGGATCCCCGTTAGACCCAGGTGCCAGGGCCATATCCTGCGGCGTCCAGAATCCCTGCCCCGACATTCCGTACATGCCCAGGCAGTAGCTGTAGTCGAAAACCCTGCCTGCTGCCACTGTCGTTAGCATAGTTGCACCTCGCCAGTAATGTAGGGGCGCACAGCCGTGCGCCCCGTCGACGATTGTGAGGGAATGTCCGCTTCTACACGAAGTCCATCTGCTCGAACTTGCCGCCCACGATGGGCACCGGGTCCAGGCCCAGCCAGCGGTCGATGATGGTGGAGTAGAAGCCCCGGAAGTCATAGTTGGGGGCCAGGTCGCCCTGCTGCAGGTCCTCGGGCTTCAACGATGGATACTGGCTGTACATCCCGCCCTTGACCTGGTTGCCGATCACGAAGGCCGCGCCGGCCGCGCCATGGTCGGTGCCGGTGCCGTTGTCCCTCACCCGGCGTCCGAACTCGGTGAACAGCACCATAATCAGGTTGTCGCCAGCGTCGTGCTCCTTCAGATCGTCAAAAGAAGTCGCTGATGGCGCTGGACATATCGATCCACAGCTTGGTGTGCATCGGCGGCTGGTTGAAGTGAGTGTCGAAGCTGCCGTTCTGGGTGTAGAACAACTGCGTGCCGAGGTCAGCCAGGTAGACCTGGGCGATGTCCCGCAGGTACTTGGCGATGGGCGTCTCGGCGTACTCGACTGTGGATGAGTAGCGTTCTGAGGGCGCTGCGGATGATGTCGGCTCCCTGCAGCGCGTCGCGGCCGGTCTGGCCCCAGGTAGTCCATCACTGCGCCGGTGCCCACTGCCGGAGCGTACATACGGGCAAAGCGGTCCAGGATCTGGGCACGTTCGGCCTCCGCCGACACACCGGGACGCTGGACAGCACGCCGTAGGACTCCAGGCTGGAAACCGACGTCACCGGAACGCCGCGCAACGACAGGGCGCGGGGCAATCCCTGCCCGAAGTTCACGCCCTTCAGCACGTTCTCGGAGTTGGGGTCCAAGTCGCGAATAACGCGGCCGGCCCATCCCTCGGTGCCGACGATGTCTGGCTCGCAAGTGTGCCAGATGTCCATGGAGCGGAAATGCGAGCGGGGCGAATTCTCGTAGCCGATGCCATTGATGATGGCGACCTTGCCCTCATCGTACAGCTTCTTGAATGGAGCCATGTTGGGGTTGAAGCCCAGCTCAGCGTCGATGGGCAGGACCTGGTCTTCGGGGATGCCGACCCTGGGCCGGGCATCCCGGTAGTGGCCGCTGGTGTAGGGAATGATGGTGTTCAGGTAGTCGTTGGCGCCGGTCATCTGCAGTACCACGACCACCGGGTCCTTCTTGGTAGTAGCCATTGCGCTCCTCCGCTTTCTTTGCGATGGGGGCCGGCCCTCCGGCAGTTGTGGCCGGAGGGCAAAAAGAACGAACGGAAAATCAGGCGAACTGGAAATCCCGCGATGCAGCGATCAGGGCCAGCATCAACCCGACCCGCCTCTCGGCGTCTTCATTGTCCCAGGTCAGATCTCCGCCCTGCCTGGCTTGGTCGAGCAGTTCGGAGTAGGTGGCCTCGCTGACTTCCACGGGCCCGGCCAACTCCAGGCTGGCATCGACTAACTGCGCCGGGGTCATAGACCCTCGCTCCCGCAGATTGGCGATGATGGCCTGAACACCTGGCAACTCGGTATTGCCCAGCAGACCGGCGGCGAAATTGACGCGACGCACAAGGGCGCCCCCGTCAATCCACTCCGCACCGGTGTGCCAACTCTCGACGCTGGGCGGGTTCAGCAGTTCCTGTCCCTGGTAGGCGCACTCGAAGGCCAGCTGGTTGAAACCGGGACGTGGGCCCCGGTAGTTGCCTGCCAGCTTGGCGGTGCCAATCACCAGCTCGGCGGGACTCTTCACCCGCGAGTACCGGGCCGCCTTGAAAAAGTCGGAGTTGAACAGCGTTCGCAGCATCTCGCGGATGTCGCCGCCGGTCCGGTCGTAGGTGTCGATCAGCGCGTCTACGGCGGCAGGGTCGTTTGGGTGGCGTGATGTTCCAGCTTGGTACCTGCGGCTCGTCGGCCACGAAGAAGTTGTAGAGGTGGCGTGCCAGTGAAGCGGGCGCTGGCCGGCTGCTTCACGACAATGTCGATAATGTCCTGTCCGTCGAAGTTGCCGGTGTTGCCCAGGAAGGTTTTTTCGCCGCGTCGTCGTGGTCCTCGGGGGCGGTACTCGAACTCCAGTAGAAACGACCCAGCGGGTTGCGCGGAATCTTCGGGCCGATGGTCCAGCCGGTGAAGGCTCGGGAGGCCTCCTTGATGTCGTCCTCGGAGTAGTTGCCCACTCCCATGGAGAACAGCTCCAGCAACTCGCGGCCCCAGTTCTCGTTGATGGCGCCCATGTGATTGCCGTTGTTGTCCAGCCAGAAGATCATGGCCGGGTTGCGGGCCAGCTCCACCAACAGGTCCCGGAAGCTGCCCATCCCGTGCTCGCGGAACATGATGATCTGCTGGGTCAGTTCCGGCGGGTTGTCCACCTTGGAGTTTCCGGTGGCGAATAGCTGGTGCCAGAAAAGGGCCATCTTCTCTTCGAGAGGCCTCTGGGTGTTGATCATCCGGTAGACCCACTCTGCCTGGTTCAGGGGCGGGCCCAAGGCTCCCTCGTAACCCGGCATGAATCGGTAGAGCAGATCGTTATCGACCGGCTCAAACTGCTCCGGATTCAGCAGCTCCTCCACCGTGGCCTCGTACCCATTTGCGGCACGAATCGCCAACTCCTCGTAGGGTGCGCCGAATCCGGCTCTACGCATCAGGTGGCCCATAAGGGCAATCTGTTCTTTGTCCGCCATTGGAAACCCTCCTTCAGATAGGAGTCTGACCGCTATGTAGTATCACGCGACGTAACGCGCGCAGGCTTTGTCCCAATCCTATTTATTACGTGCATCAATGTCAATGAAAATATGCCGTAAGGACCAGGGCCATGGGGCCTGAATAGAGCAATTCCGCGGCGGCGCAGACAATCGAGTATTTGTTTCGGAGAGGGACGTACCTGCAGAGGGCAATGAGGTGTGCCTGTGGGGAAATGGGAGAAATGGGACGAGAGTCTTCCCACGGGCTCCCATTTTTGTCCCAAATTGTCCCATTTCCTCGTTCATTCGTAGCTGTGATCTCCTAAAAATGGGGAAAATTTCAAATTTCGGTGTCATTTCGTCCCATTCGGTCTTTCCGGTCTGTTTGCGCTGGATCTGCCGGCCTTATGGCAGGCACAGGATCGGCAAGATCATTATTTCTGGCAGCAGTCATACCAAGATATGGTACGTAGGCGTCATGAGGCTTGGCAAGCGGTAAATGTCATCAATATACGCATAGTGGATTGTTCCCGCCCAAGCCGGAAGCGCGTCTTTCCATTCAGAAAAATTTCCTTGGCGTTGTACCCACAAATGTAAATTCACCGTGGTTTGCCAATACAACGGCCCACCACTGACTGTTGAACAGAGAATGCAATTGCTGTAGATTGCGGCCTCCGTTCGTGAGGGTTGGACAGAATGTTGAATAGCTTTCCTGGGGCATTGCTGGCCCGATTGGCGACCGGCCTGGTCGCCTTTCTTGCCGCCATCCTGATGGTGGCCATGTGCGTTGGCTGTTCCGATGGGGCGCCCGCCGCCACCGCGCCGCCGTCGACAGAGACGGCTGACGCCGTTCCCGCAACGCTCGAGTCCACACCTGCCCCGACTCCGGCCACGGCAGTGCCCTCGCCCACCGAGACTATCAAATCCTCGACTCCCACGCCTGAGCCCACTGCCGCCGTCACGTTGCAACCGTCACCACCTACGGACGTGCAGTACGTATCCGAAGAACATCGGGCGGCCTCAGAAAGGGTGTTTGCCCTCGTGGAAGAATTGATTGAGGAACTGGGCCACCGGGAGGCCGGAAGCCCCGAAGAGCTCCAAGCGGCCGAGCACCTGAAGGAGCGGCTGGACGCAATAGGCTACCCGGCGG